AATGACATGAGACAAAGTATATGTGAACTGCTGTATGAAAAGTGAATTTACTCTGTAAATCTTCACCCAAATCCTAATTAAAAAAAAAAAAAGAGCTCTAAAGAAGAGAATGATGAACCTGAGGAAGGCCCAGAGAGAGTACAGCAGCATGGTACGGTTAACAGCATATCACTGTGCATGAATGGCAGAGCCTGAGCCAGGGCCTAGCCCCTCTGCTTCCATAGCCAGCCACTTCCCCTCACCATGCTAACCGTAAGATCATGCCCTGAGAATGATGCTTTCTATTCTCTTTTGGTCATCACCATAGTTTGTTTCTGGTTCAATTTTGAAGTAGAGATCACCATTTTTGCAATTTCCGAGTCAAAGCATTTTACAGAAAACAACAACAACAAAGCCCAGAGGCAAGAAAATCTGTGGACTTTCCCTAAAACATGGGCTTAATTTATAATCTGTAATTTTTGGAAAAACCTCATATATATACAGGAAATTACAATTACACGCAACCGTGTTCTCACTTTGAGTATACGTATTTTTAGGAAGACAACATTTTATACATTATGTTATTAACATTATGTTAATCTAAGAATCCCAGAGCCTTTACAAAAAAAGATTCCTTATATTTTGTGAGATACTTTATTTACTCATAGAAAAATAATTTGTCCAAGGCCACAATAGAATTAAGGACACAATCTAGTAATCTTAGTCTTATGGCTAAGGTTCTACTTTAAACTATCCATCTCCTTATATCATGAAGATTCTCATTTTCTATTAGGTCTTTAATTATTTCTCCTATTTCCCATAAATTTCAAAAAAGAAACAAGTTTGGGAAATGATATCAAATATTTAATGTACACGTGCTAATGTGTTAAGAGTTAAGCGTTCTTATCTGTATTTTTAATCTTCCTAACTATTGTAGTACATCAGTTTGGTATCTTCATTTTACATATGAGGAAACTGAGGCACAGACAGTAAGTAACTCCTCCAAGCTTACACAGCTTCTAAGTGGATGAGTCCAGATTCAAGCCCAGATTTCTTTACACACATTATCTGATTGCTGGGTAAAAAGTTCACATAAAATGTGACCTACTGTTTGCATGCATTGTAGGATATTTTGTTCTCATGTTGTTGTTATGTGCCGTCGAGTTGGAGCCGACTCATAGCGACCCCTCCTTGGGTTTCCGAGGCAGTTATCACTATGAAAGTAGACTGCCCCATCTTCCTTCCGAGGAGTGGCTGGTGGGTTTGAACCACCAGCCTTCTGGTTAGCAGTCGAGTGCTTTAGGCACTATGCTACCAGAGCTCCTATTTTGTTCTCATAGAGTTCTTAAAAAAAAAGGTCAATACTACCCACCCACTGAGCTTGTCTTCCACGAGCAAGCAGCTTTTCTGATTTCCACCTGTCCTGCTACAAAATCCAGTAGTTTCTGGGATGACTAGAATCAGGTTGTAAATTTCAAACAGCTCCTAACCATTTGTCTCCAAATCATTAGTTCTGAACTTTCTTCCTGGCCCAGCTGTATAAAACTATAGTGACTCTACTGCCCCTGGGATTCCATGTGTTTTTAACATAATTAACTAAAACCGAACAAACACACACTGCCATCAAGTCGATTCCGAGTCATGGCAACCCTATAGAACATAGCAGAACTGCTCTACAGGGTTTCCAAGGCTATAAATCTTTACAGAAACTGACTGCCACATCCTTCTCCCATAGAGCAGCTGGTGGGTTTCAAACACCCAATCTTTTAGTTAGCAGCCAAATGCTTTAATCACTATGCCACCAGAGCCCCAGTAGCCCATACATTTTGTTAAAACATGTTACTCGTCCAGGGAATGCTGAGTCTGACAGATTGTATTAAAATGTATTAAATGCCAGGTATCAAAGATACAAAATGAGCTCACAATTTAATGGAAAAGAAAAAAAATTACACTATAGCCTAAGTACAAGA